GAAAATCTTGGACAACTCCAATATAGAATAGTTATTAGTTATAATTTTAAATTCAGATTAATAAATATTGGGTATACAACTAAATACAACATAACTATATTGATATGAGATACTACAATTTAAACAAACAAAAAATTTCATAAGATTTTTAGATGTATATAGTATAGAGTATAAAATATCTCTTTAAAAAATATACTATAACAATCCACTAAAGCTAATCTTAATAATACATAATGCGGAACAGATATTAAAAATAGGGGTATTTCACACTCTATACGTACTGTATGGACCTATTTATTAATATTCTGCATAATTTAGAAATGTTCTTTGCAGATGATAATTATACAGACTAATGTGGATAAAAAAATTAAATGAGATGTGAATAGCTCATATTAAATACTTAGACCAATTAGACCAATGAATAATCACTAAACTTAGACTAAAGGTGCTCTTAATGTAATTAAATAGCCATCGAGATCATGCATAAGTACTACAATTAATTCTGTAATTGAAGATCACTACTGTAATTTTGCTGAAGTCTGACAAAAAAGATGGCTTCAACTTTTTTTTCTTATCGCAATAATGAACCTACTTACTGGTTAAACTATTTCCCACCAATTAAAACTTTGAGTTCCAACCTATAATTTATGTGTTTGAAATAGTGATGAGGGCTGACCCTGGCCCATCGGCCGGCTCATACCTTCACGGGCCGGGGCCGATTAAAATAAGACTAGAGTTGTAACATTTCGGGATGTGGATAATCAACCAACACAAAACACGAGCATGCTCGTCGGGGAGTTTCAGACATATGGGGTCTTTGCCTTGAAAATCACGTTATGGGACATAGTAAATCATATGTTCCATAACTTGATTTTCAAGGCAAAGCCCCCATATATTAAGTTATCGATAGAAGATCAAATTATAAGATATATAAGATAGTTTGGAATAGTTTAAAATAATTTAATAATATAGTTGGCTCGGGCTAAGAAATTTTTCGGCCGGTTCGGCCCAAGCATTTGGCATTGGCCCTCATCACTAGTTTGAAAAAATCTTAAATCGTATGAATAAAAATTAAAATGAGAAATTGATTAATACATATATTAATTGATAATGTTCAATTGACTAAATAACAAGCTTCCTAATATGTACCGATAGTCTGCCATAGATCTGCCAAATACCTGGTTTTGCTGTTATGCTACTGATATCGATCTTATGATATCTTACCAATATTCTGCCAATATTCTGCTGATATTCAGCAGGTATTTGGCAGATCTATAGCAGACTATTGGGTACATATCAGGAAACTTGTCTCCCGGTATGCATTTATTCAACCTATATAAGTTATCAGTTTAAATTTACAGAATTTCGATAATTGGTATGTATATCAATTTCTGGTAGAGTAAATTAAATTGGATATTATAAAGAGGTAGAATTACTATACTCATCTAATATTTGGTTCATAAAAAATATATGATAGCAATTATACGCATTTTGATATTATAAAGAAGGATTTTATTATTTGAAAAGTCTGGGGCATAAATTAGTGTGATTCTATAGAGGTTGTGATTATAATGGAGGCGATTATAAAGAGGGAAGAGTGTACATTTTAAGACTTAGATCCTGAATTGAGTTATTATAACAATACAAAATTAATTTGATTGGATGGACTTATTCGATGGATTCAATTCAAGATTTTAAATGTATTATGTTTTCATGTGATTTAAGGACCCCTATAAAATGTGTTTTTATGTGATTTAAGGACCCAAAAGACCGATTAACATCTCTACTAATTTTAGAATACAACCTAACATTAACCGTAAAGAGCTGTTGGAATGATTATTTTGCTTTATTTACTGGGGTAATTTCAAGAACAAGGAACCCAGTGATATTTTCGTGATAATCACATCACATGATTAAGTGTTCGGGTTAGTGTTAGGGTTAGGTGATAGGATAGTTTAGCCTAATTTTTTTCTGCAAGTAAACAAATGACGTCATTGTATGATTTCACATGTGAGGTGATGATCACTGGGTTTCGTGTTCGTTTTCTTTTACATATCGTGCATTATGCAAGGAAGGTTTGGAAACTACCCAATGACGGGTCTAACATCTGGTAATAATAATAAAATAATTTTTTTTTTTTTTTTTTTTCTAAAGAGGGACGCCGGGAGGCGTAGTATAAAATAAAATTAAATGGATACGTATCATTTCACCGACACTCCTTTCGTAGAAAAAACACTTCACCGAAATCGCCTCACCGACATGTTTATTTCGTCGACACTAAATTCACCGACAATTATTTCGCCGACAAACTTAATTCGCCGAAAAGTTTATTTCGTCGACACTAAATTCACCGACAATTAATTCGTCGGCAAAATTAATTCGTCGAAAAGTTTATTTCGTCGACAGTACAACTCACCGACAATTACTTCACCGAAAAGCTTACAACTGGGATCTTTGCTAGGAAAATCACCCTTCGGGATTTTCCGATCGAGCTAATTCGGAAAAGTTTAGACCAGAATGTCGGTTCCTATTCATATGTAAACCGTCTTTTTACTTTACTGATTTGACAGTTTATTTAATAAACTATCGAATAAACAAAGCAAAACGTGAATTACATATGAATAAGAACTGGCATTCTGGTTTAAGCTTTTCCGAATTAGCCCGATCGGAAAACCCCGAAGGGTGATTTTCCGATTTTCCTAGCAAAGATCCCAGTTGTAAGCTTTTCGGTGAAGTAATTGTCGGTGAGTTGTTCGGTGAAGTGACGTGTCTACGAACGGAGCGTCGGTGAATAGAGCTGAACCGAATTAAATATGTAAGCTTATATTAAAAAAAATTTTTTTCTACCAGCTTCAAAATTCGCAATTTTGATTGGTCGATAAATGATTTTTCGGATTGAATTATAACCGGATTCATGGCAGAGAATCCGAATAGTCCTGAAAAAAATAGGATCGATAAGTGCTATTTCTCGAAAACGTACTAAATAAACGGGATTGGGTACTCCAAGTTAAAATGTTCAGGATCCTGAAAACCTCGCGAGAACTGAAATTGGGACCTTATATCTAATTGTATACAGTATATTATATAAAACTCCTCCTTTATCCTAAAATTGCACCCTAATCATAGATTTTATTAATAAAAAATTATATACGGTGTTCAGCACCATAGGTGCATTTTATAATTTTTGGTCGACATATATCAGAATCTTTGAGATGTAATCGGTATTATACTTTCCGCCCAAATCCCAAATTACTATAGTTTGAATTTGTCCAATTCATCCCAAATTAATATCTCAAAAAACTTTATTAATAATCTTTGTTTAAACAAAAAAATTTATTCTTATAATTATAAGTAATATATTTGTAAAATATTTTAGATACTTGTTTGATTTAATCTTTTATAATAGCGATAGTAATTGTCGCAGATCATAATGAAATCGGATTAAAATGAAATGAGGGGTTTCTATCTGATACACTAAAACCCACTTATACCTGTTTATTATAAATTCTACCCCTAAATCTTAACCCTTCCGGAATCATATTTTACCCAACGCTAATAAGATTAAATAAATATATATGAGAATCAGCGATGATCGGGCGAAAAAAGTCGTTCTAATTACTGTTACAGTATTTTACTAGTATACTAATAAAATTATAGTTGTTAGATTCCTTAATGTTTTTTTTTTTTAAAGAAAAGTAAGGCTTTTTCTTTAATTATATAGAAATAGAGCACAAAAAAACTGTGCCCGGATTAAGATGAAATCAGAGTAATAGTTTCAAAATAGACAAACCACCGAAAAATACAAATTTTGGAGTGCATTTTTTTGGGCATTTTAGGGTTAGGTTTAATGTTTAGGACAGAATCCACTTAGTGTATGACTATTATTTTATCAAAATTTATATAAAGTTTACGTTCTTATTATTATTAGCTATGTTTGTAAATTGGTTTATAGACAACACAACCTACCATGTATGTACGTACGTACGTACCGTATGCCACTGCTTACATTACCGGGTCTTATTCAAGAATTCCATTTTAAAATTGAATAGTACCCATGGGTACTGTGTGAAGAACTGGTATTATATCTGGGGATACATCATTTTAAAGTAGTAAATCATCATAGTTATACTCCATGCCTTATTCAAGAAACAGGTTGGTAGTGATGGTGAGTAATACCCGGATTTTAATCATGAGGTATTATTTTTGGGGTGCAGATTTGAAATGTAGTTCTTTTCAATTATCTAGATTGCATTTTATAAATGCCAAACGTGTATGCCCATTAGAGGTTTTGGATTGATGAAATATATCCCCGGGATATCGTAAGTGATAGTTGTTAAATTACACGAGGGAAGTGCTTATGACAGTTCATTTTATTTTATTTATTTATATGCGTATGCCCATCAGAGGTTTTAAATTGGTGAAATGTACCACCCCGGGATATCATATGAGACAGTTATTAAAACTACTCGAGGGAAGCGCTTATGACAGTTCATTTTATTTTTTTTATTTATATTATAAATGCCATGTGTATGCTCATCAGGCTTAAATTGGTGACGGGATATCGTATGTGACACCATTTACGGTAGTTATTAAAATTACAATTCATTTTATATTATTTATTTATTTTATTATTTATATGCACTAATAAAAAATATAATAATTCATCTAAAAGAAATTTAAATTTATGAATTTATTTGCGTGCATTATTGGTCAAGGTTTGGGTTATTTTGACTATATATCATCTTTATGGTTGATCTATAGAGGTGAGGATTAGATTTTAGATTAATTCAAAATATATATATTATAATTTTATAAGAAGATCCATACGTACGTACACGTAAACATTCAATTTATATGCTAAAGATTCAAGTTAATTAATTTACATAGTAACTATCCTAATTTGTATAAACTTCTTTTACAAAAAATATATAAATAATATTTAATTCACTGTGGGATTCGCTTTTTTAAATACGTAAAACTAATAGAAATAAATTATAGATATGACAAAAGAAACAAGCGACCATTTTCATCATGTAAATAACATGATTGCTTCTTGGTTTTTCGGTCCGCGTGCAGAAAATAAAGAATTTGTTAAAGAATTTTACGACAATGTAATAGATCTACAGGCAGAAGGAAGAATGTTGTATTTTGACTCTGCGGATCCAAATTTCATTACCACGCAGATGCAGAATTCTAAAGAGTTTAAAAATAACATAGAGTATCTCAGAAGCCAACTCAATAAACTCTTAGAAAAACTTAATGAAAGAACGGTACCATTTTGGTCACCTCGCTATATGGGTCACATGGTTACGGAAACGACTATGCCAAGTAACCTTGGTTATGTGGCGGCTTTACAATACAACCAAAACAACATTGCTTCCGAAGGAGCACCATTAACCACTATGCTTGAAATTGGTGTTGGCAATCAGTTATGTGAAATGCTTGGATTTGACACTTCTAATAATCTAAACATCAATTTGGATAATCTTGACAAAGAGGATGAAAGTATTTATAATTTTGGCTCTCAAGAGATTCAAAGTTGGGGACATATCACTTGCGATGGTACAGTAGCAAATCTGGAATCCATTTGGTAAGTTTCTCTAAGTATTATTTCTAATAATGATTTATATTTTCCTTATTAAATTTGCTAATATTTGAGTATTTATATATTGCGTTCAGGGCTAGTAAGCTAATTAAATGCAAAATTAGGTTGATTGCTTTAATATTTTAAAAGCTTTATATAAATATTGCTAAAATTTTAATTTAATCACTTTAATAGCGCGTAACCTTAAATTCTATCCGCTATCTCTTCGCCTCGCCATCGAAGAAGGTCGATTATCATTTATTGACAAGAGTTTTACTATTGAATTAGCCAATGGTTCGGTGAAGCTTTTTAAGGATTGTACGACGTGGGAATTGCTTAATTTCAAACCGACCACTGTGTTAAATATCCCTGAACGACTTTATCAAAAGTATGGAATTACTTCTCAGTTTTTGCAAGCTTCTCTTAATGACTACACCATTCAGACTGTAGGAAAGGATTATCTAGAACAAAAATTTGGTATCACGAAACCATCATTATATTTTGCAAGTAGCACGCATCATTATTCGTGGCCTAAGGGTTGTGGTGAGAATGCAATTTTCTTTTTTTGCCTTTTTTTTTTTAATTTCTTTTTATTTTGATAAAATCATACTATCTTATTTTAAAGCCATTGTTGGAATTGGATCTAAAAATTTAAAAAGCATTCCAGTAGACAATGCAGCGCGAATGGATGTTAATGAGCTTGACAAAGTTCTTGCAAAGTGCGTTAGAAATAAACAAGCTGTTTATGCAGTAGTTGCGATCATGGGGTCAACCGAACAAGGCGCTTGTGATCCTTTGGCCGATATCGTCGCGCTTCGAGAGCGGTATCAACGCAGATACGGACTTAGTTTTGTCATTCATGCAGATGCTGCTTGGGGTGGATATTTCCGTACAATGCTTATTGAGCCACCTAAGAATTCTCCGTGTGGTGATTATTCAGAAAATTATAGTGAAGAGCGTGATACTTTTGTTCCTATGCTAGCGCTGAATCCTTATACAAGGAAGCATTTGTACAGTCTAAAGGATTGCGACTCTATCACCATTGATCCGCACAAAAGTGGATATATCCCATATCCTGCTGGTAGTCTATGTTATCGAGATCAACGTATGAGATATCTGGTTACATGGACAAGCCCAGTTGTGACACGTTCTAAGGAAGAAAGTATTGGAATTTATGGTGTGGAAGGAAGGTAAGTCCTAAGCTGAGTCATTAAATGCGATAGGGAAATATATTCCAATAACAGTTCCTTTTATTTTAGTAAGCCTGGTGCAGCTCCAGTAGCTGCTTGGCTTTCTCATGATGTAATTGGCCTTCATCAAAAAGGTTATGGCGCATTATTAGGACAGGCAACTTTTACTTGCAGCAAGGTGTGATATTATACGTAGAATAATCACGTTAAACCCATTACATAAACAACTTCTCTCCCTTTTCAATATAGATCTATTGCCATTGGGCTACTATGTCAACTGATAAAGATAACTTTATTGTTGTTCCATTCAACATGTTGCCTGCTGAGAAGCTTAATCCACCAAATTTGGAAGAAGTTAAAGAACAGAAGCAAAAGATCAGAGAATTAATTGTCACCAAATCAAATTTGGAAATAATAAATAATGAAGAAGCATTGAATTTAATTAAAAAAGTTGGTTCTGATCTTATAATTAACACATTCGCATGCAACTTTAAAGTGGACGGCAAAGTGAACGAAAATATAGGCGAAGCAAACTATCTTAATCGACGTTTATTCGAAAAATTTTCACTTACCTCTTACAGACAAGATAACAAAACAAAACCACTGATTCTTACTTCCACAACGCTCAAGCAGAGTTCTTATGGTCATTGCCTTACGAACTTTAAGAACCGCCTTGGTTTGAAAGGTGACCAAGATCTCTATGTACTCATTAATGTAGTTATGTCACCTTGGCCCACGGAATTCGATTTCATTACTACGCTTACAAAAACTTTTAAAGAAACCTTGAAAGAGCTAACTGAGGTAAAATTTAATCTTTAAATGAATTTTTTCATTTTTTTCCTCTATAATTTATTGTTTTTTGTCTTTTTGTCTTTTACAGCTTTCAGCTAGACGCAACACAAAAACACCTGTTCATTTGAACAGAATTCTATCAGTTGAGGAAAATCAATCAAATGAGAAAATTTGCGATTATACATCACATCTATTTGTCATTCAAGGTACAGATGAAATTTATTTAGTGCACTTGCCAATATTTCAATTAGAAACCCATCGTCAACAAGTCATTATAAAGGCCGAAATGTCAACAAAAATGATGGAGAAGTACAAAGATTTTCGTAAAAAAGACCCTTCAAAAATGTTGATACTTTGTTACCAAGAAAATATTACAATCGACCAAATCGCAGCTGAAGGAAGTTCTTTCAGCGCTTATATTATAGAAGGTTTTGACCCTTACATGGCATTAACAGAGTACGTAATTGGAATATTTTTTATTGTGTTTTATTGTAGGCTTAACCTAATCTATTTATGTCATTTTATAAAGACGTCATAAAATGTTCTCAAGATCTTCAAGATCTTTCAAAATAAAAACCACCAAATTGCTAAAGATGCGCAAGTTGGGATCATCTTACCAAGATGCCGAATATCCGATAGATCGTGTTCCATTTTACATTTATGGAACGGAAAATCAATTACACATTGACCACTTACTCCTCAAATCCCCTTCCATACAGCTTTCGGCTGAGAGTGTTCAAATTGAATTAACATCGGGAAATTTTACAAAAGAACAGAAAGAAAGAGGCGCAATTGTTCACATAATTGCAAAAGAAGAAGAGGATGGCACCATTGTTGATTTATATGAGGTTGCTATGCAACCGTTCCCAGACACAAAATATCTTGGGAATTCATTCTTTTTCAGAGCTAATACCCATTTTCATGTGGAACTATATGAAGACCCAGTATGTGACCCAGCTTTAAATGGGCCAGGTCTAGATAACGTTAATAGTATATCACCATTTGCTATAGGAAAAATTATATTGCCTTCTGTAAGCAAAGGAAGTTTATATATTGATTCTCATTTAATTAATATAGATCCAGTAGTAAAAATTCAAAAAGGCAGGACAGTTAAACGTGCTTCAACTGAATGGAGGAAATGCCCCAAACCATTGTTGGCTAATACAAAAAAGAATTGGTACGAAAAAGATGATTTTAAAACCAGCCCTGTACGTGCTTCGTTTCATTCTACTCTTTAATTGCTGACAGAAGACATTTTCATTTTAATTATAGAATATAATGTAATATATACATATTATTTATGAAAATTAATTTTACTATATAAATATAATTGTTCAAAAGAGTTGTACATAATTTTTTCTTTAAAAAAAAATAATAATAATTCTATACATATCTAATATATCTATATTCTGTAAAATGTTCATCAATGACTTGTGCGTAATCTTTTATTTTTAATATAATGCCAATTAATTTTTATAGTGTTTGGAACCGGATTGAAGTCATCATCCGGGTAAGCATGGGCGGATCAATCCGTCGGGTACTCCGTTACAGCTAATTTCATAATTCCTGGAACACCTGATAAAAATTGGCCGAATGATTTTTTAGCCGATTCGATTAAATTTGTAATTTCGGCACGATCCGTATAATAAAAACTACTTTTGTTTCATAATGACTTTACAGAGCATTGTAACAATAATGTCAACATTATTAAACTTTCGTTCGAATGCTTATCCAACATGTTTAATGTGTCAATTAAGTCTTAACAAGAAATATAAAAAATGATCTATGTATTAATTAGACTTTTATAATATTCTATTGCACGAAGTACATGTTAAAAGATCCTGTATATAAATAAATATTACTTTTATTTGTATATACAAGTTGGTTCGTAGCCCTTCAAATTGTCATAATGTCTAACCAGAGTAATTCATATATTTTTTCATCAAAGTTTTAAAATATTTTGTATCATTCATGTTTAGTGAACGTGGTTCTGAAAGTAATGGAAGCATTTCAATACATCCATATTTTTAAAGTGCTTAATACCCCGACTTATAAATAATATGCTAAACCTAAATGTTTGGTAATTTTTCGAAATGATATTAGGCCTTCTAAATTTTTTTTTTAAATATTTTCCAATGAAGATATCATATTTCTGCATTCTACCAGAGATAAAATATTCAATAATAGGGGGTTTCAAAGTTAACAAATAAGTGACGCACTTCGAAAATAAATATGATTTTTTCAATAGTATTTTTACTATGTTGAATTATAAATCGGAAAAATAAAATGAGATTCT